TGCATATGAATGAGAGATAATAATGTAGGAATAGGGGTTACATGTAACTCCCAAGTGAGCATCTAATGTGGTAATGGCAATGGTCATCCATATATTAATATTTACATAATACTCCCCCTTGGATGACCACTAGATTGCATTACGCTATCTCATACTGCCTCATTAAAAACCTTACCAGGAAAACCCATTGGGAAAAACCATGGTGAAGGGAAAAAGAGTGCAGTGCGTATATGCTCCCCCTCATGACCACATCATTTAAAATCTTTGAGTCGTTGAACTCAAATTTCACAAACAACTTTTAGAAAGATTGTTGCCGGGAGTTAGTTAGTGAACAATCTTCTAGATTGTCAATCTTATGCATGATCTTGAGATTTTCTTGATCCATGATCGTCAGGATCATTTCCTTTACAACTACAAGTCCTTTAGATATGGTGAATCACAAAGTGTAACGAAATACATTCAGGACTTGCCTACTATAGTTTGTTTTAGATATCTATGAAACAATCACATCACCATATGTAAGAGATAGCTCATCTCTGATCAACCAATATGAGGATCAAATAATATATAGGATTTGGATATATAGTTCACCAAATCTCTCTATGACAGTACCATAATAGAACAATTGCATATATTGTTCCTGAAGGTAACAAAGTATTTCCAACGTTCCATTGAGGGAAACATTATATTTTGCTAATATTATCAACACCAAAATGATAGTTTACATGGTGCTTGGCTAGCAAGATGCATTGGTGCTCTGATGCATCAATATATGGTACTTCAGGACCTAGTACATCAACATAAAGTACTTCAGGACGTAATGTTTCACTTCTTTCTCGATGCCTAAATGGATCTTTGGTCACTTCTAGTGATCTTAGGATCCTAATGTTATTTGATGAACATAATTTGTTCACGCAAAATTATTTTTCCACTTTTTCAACATTACCTTCCTTGCCCATAAAAAGGATCTTAAATCCTTCCATTTAACTTATGTCTCTAAGCAATCAACTGCTTTAGGAAGCTCTTCAGGAGCTCCAATAATAGACATATTATCAACATAATATGAGATCGTCACAAAAAAACTTGACTAAAACAAATTGAAGCAAGCAATTCTTTCACACGAAAGATATTAACAAAACTCACATCATAGAAACATATGAACTAGACAAAGCACAACCATAAAACACAACTCATACTTTAAAGTAAATCACAACTCATAAATCAAGAATTTAAAATCCTTGAAGCACATACAGACAACACAAGTACACAACTATATATGCACAATGCAAATGCTCTAATGACTCTATCCGGATTTAACCTTTTAAGGTCCATTCACCCTACTGTTGTAGGTGTTCACTTAGACGGGTATTTCACACTCGTCTATATTTTCTCAACCCATACTGGGGATATTCATTATATGTTCTCGAGAACTTTACTTGTTTACTTCAGGTAAATTAATCCTTCTAGGAGTAACTAATCCTTCTGGGAGTTTCAAATATATATAACATCTTCAGGGAATTCAAACAAATAGGCTATCACACCAATTTTCAAACATTGATTTGAAAACGTAGTTGCATCCACCACAGGGGAGTATAACTCCTCTTAAACAATGATAGGTCTCTTCGAGAAACCCATTGCAAAACATTATGTGATATCTCTCACAATTTCATACTTTCCAATAGCATAAAAATTTGTTTGTATCCCGCTATTTTTGCCCTTTTTTAGGGGTAAGGACTTCTGGTCCTTAAACTTTATGCTCCTTGAGCAAGTTTCATGATTTCTTTCTATATTGGCCAATAACATTATCATTCGCATGCATCAATAGAGTTTTACTCTTGATCCTCACTTGTACATATCATATTCAGTACTGTAGTACAACAAACAAATTTCATCGACAATGATATCATTACGGTCCCAGTATTGTAGTCTAATATGTTTTTGAGATCTCTTCACTTTCATAACTTTCAGAGACATGTGTTCTTCTGGAACTAAAATTATACTTAATTCTTGGTTACTCTTCTTGAGTTTTCATGTCCTCGAGTTGACCATTCTAATCACAGCTCCTTTTTTTTCTCGAGGATGTTTATCGTTGGAACCGATTGGTCTATCACGCTTCATGCGCTCTTTTAGACACATTTTTTTATATTAGAGTATCCAACAAGGATATCAATTTTGGTTGGAGCATTCAAAGCTAGTATATATGATTTGGACACTTTGTGTGGTCAGTAAAGATATTTGATAGTTGGTAATGATAATTCATCTTATGAACTTCAGGTTCATGTTTCTTAATTTGAGGATCAAAACTAGATAATGATAACTCATTCCAACTCATCTCTTTGTCTAGCTATTTTTTTTCTCTCCCCCTTAATGTTGAAAAGTAATCCATCAAAACAATAATTTCGCAAACAAATTTCCCATTCGGGATTCATACCCAACACAAATTCTCAATTTCCAACGAGAATCAACTTAAGATACTGTGGTGGAGCAATTGGGATGTATGCGACACACCCTGGTATTCTCATATGAGAAATGTTAGGTTTTTTACCAAAACCATTTGTAAAAAGGGGGAACTTATGATAACTTGTTGGTTAGATGTGAACCAATACTATCACTTGTCAGCTAGCATGTCCTCGACAAGAGACCAGAAGGCTCAGTTTGTTCTCTTAAGAAAAGTGATGTTTGATTGGATAACCATCAAAATGTATCCATAGTGAGGCAATCAATCTCGCAAACATCGGGTTGCGATTAGATAAAATACATTTGATGCAGCAACCCATAAAATTCACAAATGATCCACATGACTGATGTATTGTTCTGCATACACGTCCATAAAATCTCAAGAGATTTGTCAACTCTTATACCAGCAATGATCAATTGTTCTATTCTCCTTGAGAACAAACATGACATAATAACTCTTTTATTTGAAGAGTTCTTTGACTTCTCATATGATGTTCTCATGAATTCTCAAAGAACTTTTTTTCACATCAAGATCCGGGATGGTCTAACCGGACCAACCAATTATCAAGTTATCAAATCTTGTAAACTTCTGGTTTACACTTTTATGTGTACTGATTGTACTAATATACATGTAGTACATATTTGTGATGCAAATATTAGTTTCACTATTTTCTTGATAAGATATTCTTTTTACGAATATCCTTTTAATTGGGTAATGCATCATCACTAGGTAGTTTGGTTCCTTCAGGCCACAAAATTAGCTCCCTTTAAAGCTTTATCATATTTTGTACCATATTTCACCCTTCCGGGGACTTATGATTTGATGCATTCTTAGTAAACACAAATTCATAGTGAATATCATCACAAATTGTTATCACGAGTACATAATTTAGTTACTTCAAGTAACCAAACATAAGCTCTTCGGAAGCTTTTTCTTATTTATGTACTCTACCATATAGTTTATATGGAATTTGTCTAGTACTCATACTTTATAAAAACATAATAAAAGTAATAAATGAGAATATTTCAAACTTAAGACAAAAATGATGAATTTATCAAGTTAATTGTTCTAGATAAATGTTATCAAATTAAATTATGCATGAAAAATAACATCACAATAAAACATAAAAGAAATAAGAATCATAATACTACAATTGTGAAAATTAAATAAGATTTATTTGGAACAATACCATCACTGACTAGGTGATTTTAAATTTATATATGCGTTTCATTATACATTATAATGTACAACAGGTACATTATGTTATCATGACTTTGATAATGCAATTATGGTGTCATCCTTATTTATAATTCTCATTTATCTTCTCTTTTCTCACTTCTGGTGAAAAGATCCATACAATACATTTACCATATATATAATTATGTTTATAGTTTCATTCACTTCTGGGAATAGATTATTTCATTCACTTCTAGGAATGAAAATGTCTCGAGTGCAATATCATTTTCATCTTTAATGGAGAATATACCAACTTATAATACAAAAAATATGTTCCATAATATTAATATTGCATCAGCATATTTGAATTTGCTCTTCCCTTTGATTCTTGATAGAATAAAGTCTTTTGCGAACAACGGGTAGGAGACAAACACACTTTTCCATTACAATGGTAACATACAGAACCAATATTCTTATTACCATGCCCTTTTCTTTCTTTGCCCTTGAATTCTTCAATTTCCACTTCTGGGGAATATATGGGCTCTTGGAACTTGCATTTTCTACATATCAATGTATGATGGATAAGAATAGGATAACACTGAGAACTGAGAAAGTAACTCATCACTTATATTACTTTTCTTGTTAATCCAAATAGATTGACGTGATAAAATATCAATGGATACGAGAAGTAGCACCCATCTTGATATATTGGAATGAGATAACCTCAACACAAATAAGACAATAAGATAAGAAAGGATCTAAGAATTACATACCTTGATCATATTGTGATCTTACTCCAATATCTTAGATTATGTCGAGAGTCTTTGAGCAATGATAATTTTGGCAGAGCTTCGTGCTGATAACGTGTTATGAAACTAATGTAATATAAACAACTACAAGAGAAGATTAGAGAGGGAAAGACACAAAGAAGATATGGGGAAGTGAGCTTTCTTATTCATTCTTCACTTTTGATACAATAATATGCTCTATTTATAGGCACACTTGGGTAACCACTACATCCTTATATCAATGCATATGAATGAGAGATAATAATGTAGGAATAGGGGTTACATGTAACTCCCAAGTGAGCATCTAATGTGGTAATGGCAATGGTCATCCATATATTAATATTTACATAATATATATATTATTCGTCATTTATATGCTTAACAGTTTTTACATCCGTCATCATGGTATTCCTCCAAATAATTTACTCCAAACTGTTAAATTATTTTTTTTTAAAAAAAAAAACCCTCCGCCCACAGAAGTAAACCAAATTAAAAAAAAAAATACCATACTCCCCATACAAACGAACCACTTCCAGTTTTTTTTTTTTCACCTCTCCACGTTCGTTCAAATTATTTTTTTACCTCCTCTTGTTCTTACTCCCCAGTAACAAAGCAAAGTAAAACAAAACCCTGAAAAAAAACCCCCACGCCACCGTCACCACCAAGCACTCCCACTTCCCCAGATCCGTCACCCCTTGCTGCACCAATATATCCCTCCCCGTCGTCAAACAAGTCGTCGCCGTGATATTCACCCCCATCGACCCGCTTATATTCCTCAACAACCGGAGCTTCATCGCCGCCGGCAGCGCCGCCAACGGCGAGTTGTCGAAAATCTGCACCCCTCTCACAAAGCACTTGTTCGGGTCCTGAAACTCGTTCTGCAAAACGGCCTCGTATGGATACTTCACCAGCGACATATAATGAAACCAAATCCAGTAATCGGGTATTCGGTCCCGGGTTATGAAAAACCCGCTAAACAGCAAAAAGTAGGCCAGAATCGCCACCACGATCGTGTAACCCAGCATCACATGCGGAACGACGCCGGATAGGAAAGTCACAAACGAGTTCCCGGCCCAAAACGACGCGAGGATCACGAAGAAGTAGAACAAAAAGCCCGAGAACCCGCCGTCCAGGCCCACGGCCCAAAACGTCGTCGCGGCGAAGGTGATCGATAGAAACGCAATGGCCGGGAACGAAACCAGCGCGTGGGAGAGGACGTAGGAGGATCTACGGTACGCGTTGTGCGCGGTCTCCCGGAGGTAGATGTAACGCTCCTGGAGGAACACGGGGAGCGCGTCGGCGCAGGTGTAGAACGTCGTCGACATCGCGAAGGCGAAGAAGCCCAGCCGCTCCTGGACTCCTTTTGGGGAATTGTCGAGGTGCCAGAACATGGTGGCGAGGATGAACCCCGTCACCACCACGGCTCCCAGCCGGATGCCGAATAGCTCCGGCATCCGGCGGGAGTTCGTCACCGATCTGGCGGAGAGCACCGCCATCTCCTTCCAGATCGGGTTCGCGAAGGTCGGGACCAGCGATGCCGAGCCGGCGGCGGCGTCGCTGGTCGCGAGCTTTCCCCTCGAGATGCTCGCGGAGATGGCCTCCTTGAGCGAGATCTGAGGGTTAATCAAGCAGCCGTCGTTTTTTGTGGTTTGGATTTGCCAGTGTTTGTTGAATTCGACTAGGGATTTGGTGCCGCCGCCGCCGCCAGGGGAGCCTTCGAGCTCGCGGATGAGATCCAGAGCGAATTCGGTCCGGTTCTCGTTTTCGGGTATCGGGCGCCCGAAATCCGAGAAGAAACCGGGTAGTTGGGCGGGCGACCCGCTGTAGACGGTTCGACCGCGGGAGAGGAAGAGCAAGCGGTCGAGCAACCCGAGGATCCGGTAGCTCGGCTGGTGAACCGACATCACGACGATGCTGCCGGATTGGGCGATTCGCTGGAGGACTTTGACGACCATGAACGCGCTGGTGGAGTCGAGGCCCGAGGTCGGCTCGTCGAGGAAGAGGATGATCGGGTCGTGGATTATGTCGATTCCGATCGAGACGCGGCGGCGCTCGCCGCCGGAGACGCCGCGGTGGCCTTCGTCTCCGATTACCGTCTTCGCCGCGTTGCGGAGGCCGAGCTGGTCGATTAGGGCTTGGACTCTGGCTTTCTTCTTGGAATTCGACAAACTCCGCGGGAGGCGGAATTCGGCGGAGAACATCAGCGTCTCCTCGACGGTGAGCATCGGGTAGAGGAGATCGTCCTGCTGGACGTAGGCGGAGATCACCTTCAGCAATCGAGAATCGAGCGCCTCGCCGTTCAAATTCACCGTCCCCTTCAGCGATTCCTTCGCGATTCGATTCGCCAGGGCGTCGATTAAGGTCGATTTGCCGGAGCCGCTGGCGCCGAGCACCGCCATGATCTCGCCGTCGCGGGTCTCGCCGGAGATGTCGTCGAGGAGCGTCTTCGTCCTGGTGAACACACCCGAGGTGTCTCCGGCGGCGATGCGGTTGCGGCGGCGGGTGCGGACGCTGTATGTGAGGTTGGAGAAGGAGAGGACGAAGGGGATGGAGCGGGGGACGGAATCGCCGCCGAGGTCGAGGACCTGGTGGTCGGGAGTCTCGCCACCGTCGCCGGTGGATTCCTTCCGGACGTCGCCGACTTGCTTGAGGAGCTGGCCGAGTGTGGGGGAGAGGCCGAAGCGGCGGCGCGACGGCGGCGGCGGTTGGTCGTGATCGGTGGTGAGCTCCATGTGGCCGAGTCCAGTTGGAGAGCGAAACGGCACCGTATCGTGACTGGGAGAGGGATAGTCAGCTACGACGCGTGACATGTTAACAGTCTGAGTGGGTTTTTCGTATTTATAGGTGTGTGAGAGAGAGGAAATTAGAAAATGGACAGTGGGCCCCGTTTGACTGACGGCGTGAGAGCTTGGGGACGGGGCTTCCACGCTGTTGGATGGGGGGGGGGGGAGAGAGGTTAACGGCGTTAGTGGGGCATTTCTTCAGCGAGGAAAGTCGGCGTGGAAGGAGGAAAAGGAAACAGAGGGAGAGTTTAGTTCTGATAAGTGTGGGATTAGGGTTTTGTGAAAAATTGTATATATATAGCGAAGTTTGATTATTTGGGATATTCTGATTTGGGATTTTTAGTTTAGTTGTTTAATTAAATTTTTATTAGTATCAGGGTTTAATTCATTTTTTTAATTGTTTTTGGGGGATTTATGGTTTCAAATGAGGGTAGAGTGGTGACCTAAAACCTCCTACTTTATTTGTGTTTGTTTATACGTCTTCTATTACTTGAGGAAGGGGCTCCCTGGGGGCTGACACATGGAAGGTTGTGGTTGGGTGAGGAGATCATCCACGTGGCGAAATGGGTATTTCCCTAGCATGGTTTTGGGTTTGGGGAAAGTAGGTTGGATATAGATGGACTGTGGGAGTGGGAGGTAATTAAATGAACAATCAATTTTTAATCGAACCTGGCGGTAAACCAAAAGTCTTATAGAAGAAGAAAGCTATAATTTAGCCGTTGATATGCGTACGGTAAATTAGGGCCGAAAAAATAGACCAGATTGTTAGAAAAACTGTGGTCCAAACTGTACCGCACAGTTTGGTCCGGACCGTAGACCGTGAAGTATGGTCTGTATTATTTTATGATTTGATCTCTTGGTCTGGTCTGGTCTAGACCGCGGTTTACTGGACCAAACCGTAGACCGAACTGACTTGTCAATACGTGTTAACAGCCCATTCGACCACTCTCCAAACTCCCACAACGACACCCAAGTCTCAACCTTAATTTTGTGAATCTCTTCCCTCCTTCATTCACAACCACATTTAACCACACATAGTAGAAATAATCGTATCTCCATATGACATTATGTTAATGTTTATGACATTATGGTGCAAGCTGGGATGCTTTTACTTTGTATCTTTGTTATGTACTAAGATTTAGAGTATCAAAATTATTCATGCATGTTAGGATTAATGTTTTAAGCCAAATAACAATTATTTTTCTTGGTTATTGGTTCAATTTTTTGTGTGGTTAACTATACAAATTATTAATTTTTCGTTGAGTGTGGTCTACCTGGACCAGACCAGACTGCACAGGCGTGGTCTGGACCAGACAGTATAGTCTGTAGTCTATACTTTAGCCTCTCAGTCTGGACCGTAGACCGTATATATGGTCTGGTCTGGACCAGACCGCACCGTTTCTCAGCCCTACGGTAAATAATGATAATGACGATACCCAAAGCAAAAAAAATAAAATAATAATAACTAGAGATAAAAATATCACAGTGAAAGTAAAAGTAATTAACTCAACCTTGCAAGTTAATTGTCTGGTAATTAATGCCTGAATGGATGGCTAGCTTTCTCGGTAATTCTTCTCAATTAACCTTCCCCCGAAATTTCTCTCTTCTCAGTTACTGCCTTTACCATAACGTACTCTACATATATATCTCGCTAATAACAGGAACAATAAATATCGAAATAACCCTCCAGAGCAAGCAAAATAGAGTTCTGATTCCTTACTCCTTGATCTGGAATGGTTTAAGTTATAGAATACTGTTAAACTATCCTTTCCAGTGCACCCATTGGACACTCAGAATTAATGGTAACTTGGAGGTGTTTCGTAACTGAAACTTTGGAAGAGTATATGAATGTGTGACATTCCAGCCTTTTGCACCAGGAATATGCATGTGGATGATGAAATCAGCCATCTCAAAGTAGCAACTCCGGTAAGAAACAAAAGGGTAATTATTCCCCTTGGTGACAGACAGTTAACCCACATGCATGCCAAACGCCAAACGCCAAAGAGGTCTGCGGGTTTAGTTTTTGCCAAAATCAGAAAGAAACTGAGTTCAGGAAGACGGCCCTTATCTCTATTCGCCAATTTGTTATTGTGAGGCAAAAGGGTGGGATTTTTTTGTTAAGGTACCTGCCGTAGGGTTCATTTAGGTGAGGACTTACACCGTTGGATTGTGGTTTCACTACCTAGCCACTTACAAAGATTGAACAATGAACACACACACACACACGAAGGTGGTGGGGGGTGGGGGGTGGACATGGATCCGGTTTGAAAAACCCGAACTGAAATGTTGTACTTCATGGTTTGAAATTTTGAATTATTTGTGCAATTTGTTCGGTACTCGATTCGGACCAAACAAACCAAAATATTATTCACCGAATTGATAAATCAAATTCTCATTCCTCCATTGTCAATACAGTTTTATGTGAATAAGCATATGCAAACATCCACATGTTCATCGAACTCTTTCTCTCTCGATGCTCATTTACTTATGAATATGTCATTAAAATCTTGCTAGAAAAACGGCTTCTAGATCAGGGAAGTCTAAGGAAAAAACAATGTGTTACTCTCGTTTGTTACTACGCCAATGTAAGTATACATGTCCTTCGAGAAAATCTTCCCGAAATAGAAATAATCTAAAAAAATTTCCCCGTTACACCTTTACTATATATGCAACAAGTACAATACGAGAAAGACGCTTAGGCAGAAATATTAGTCCCTATGTTGAAGGACCAATTCCTTATAGTACACACTCAAAAAGATTGATCCCTGGTCAGCGTCGGATCCAGGAGGGGCCACTCCAAGCCACAGCCCAGCCCTCCCCTTGATTCAGATCTAGTATAGCCCTTGTAAATTCACAATTTTTGGTGTTAGTTTCGGTGCTCGCCGAGTTATTACCTAGTTCTCTCCACCTCTTTTCAAATGTGGCCCAGTAGTATTCTATCATATGACATATCATGTATCCGCCGCTGTCTTTGGTGGTTAAGGAACCCAAAGCAGCCCGCACTAAGAACCAAGAGGGAAGGGAAAATAGAAGGAATGAAGAGGAAACCAACAAGAAAAGCGATCAGTTAAACAAGATTATAAATTTAACAACGCAACAACAACAACAAAATAAACGGGGGGTCGGGTAGTTGGTTTGTAGATGTGGGCTACATCACCACTTTCACCAACCCATAAACTAACTTGCACCCCCGCCTTTTCCTCAGCTACTATTACCAAAACCATTGATTTCCACCCCCCAAGCCCTCGCAAAGACGATTCAACGGAACTGGAGCGATTGGCGAGCTAAAAACAGGTCGGTCGGCTAAAACTCGAGCACCCAGCAACAAAAAAGTCAACTTTTCTGTTGTATTGCAGTTCTCGTCACCCACAAAATGGGACACCCTTCTTCCGTTCTGCTGTCCAACATGAAGTTACCTGCCCTTATCGTATCATACCTTCCATCATCGCCGTTCAAAAAGGCGGTGGCGGCTGGAGATTCACATCGACGTGTACATTACCGCGACTTTCAATTCTGCTGTCGTCGGGTACATATGAGAAATAGATGGAAGAGGAGGAACATATAGTAATGTTACGAGTATTGGACGGATTCGAGTAAGCAGACATACTGCCATTATCGCAGTGTATCGTGTGATTACACCCATCCACACTTACCGCCAGCATGAACAGCCATAAGGGCATACCTTTAGGGGAGACTAGAAAAGCACACCTGAACTTGGCAAAACAGAAGCAAGGTTTAAACAATAGAAAGACTCGTCCAACCTGCTACTGGCAGTTGGCTTACGTTAGCAGTAGGGATCCACAAATACCATTCATAAACGCAGGCTGCAGAGCGAGGCATGGAGAACTCGATCTCAATCAATACTGCAGTTTCTAATAAAGACATGGCAGTCCAGAATGGTTGCCGCAAATGAAAAACAGGAAACAAAGCGAACACGTTTTCCTTTTCGTTACGAAATTCTTGTTGTGGCAACAGGAAACGGGAAAGGTAATGGAAATTCAGTAGGGCCTAAGAGTCTAAAGCACTCAAACGACAAGCAACCATTTGCCAGAGAAACATGTAGTGCAGGGTAGGACGAATATCACTTCCTAGACAGACACCAATGCCGCACATACAACACAAACATCCAGAAGAGATTGTGCAGCCAAACCAACCAAGCACAACACAGCTCCAACTCGTCACGTTAACTCTCCTCAACAGAAATGCAAGAGATACGATACCAACTAATAGCTCGGGCAATGGCTCTGCCTCAGACCTGATCGTCCGAGAAGTTGACTGAGAGATCCCAGTACTGGACGACACCAGCATCAGCAAATATCTTCCTGGCAGCAGCTTCAGTCATGCACTCATGTACAGTGAACCTGTTGAAGCTAGGTTTAGCAACAATCCCCTGCCACACCAACACACAATTGTTACGTGGTTTATCCTCGTCGTCGTCATCTCGACCATCTTCACCCTCGTCGTCGTTCACAGCCTCGGCCCAATTTATACGCCTAAGCATCAAGTTCCCGTACCGCTTGATAGCTTTGCTCCCACCTTCAACAACCACAACATTAATTCCCTCGGAGATAACACAGCACCCAGTCAAGTGGTTGTGGCTCGCGTTCACATCGACCTTGAATCGGGTCTTCTTGTGGGACAGATCGTTTATCTTGTACACAGAAACCAGGGTCCCCACGGTATTCGGGTCGTCAAACAGCTTCCTCTCTTTCTTCTCGCGTCGCTCAGAAGGTGTGAGCTTCCTCGCAATGTTCCTATCAATATGAGCTTGCTCGCGGTCTGCAGCCGCACTGCGAATTTCCTTCTCGAGCTTCGTGGGGTCCTGCGTTGCTTCGGCACCAAGAACTTTCATTAGGTTGCTCATTTTGACTTTCGGTTTAGGCGGTTCGAGCAGGCCCTGTCGGATCATCTCCTGCCTGTCTTTCTCACGAGCGAGACGGCGCTGGGTTCGGAGTTTCTTCTGTTCCTTCTTGGTCAGCTTCAGAGGCTGTGGTGGTGGAGGAGCTGGTTCTGCAGGAGGGTCAATAGGGCGTGGGTGTTCAACATAGATGGTGATCTTATCCGTCTTCAATTGATTGTCGTGAATAATGCCATCCTCGAAATCACCATAGACACCACCAACAAGAAAAGGCAAATCCCTGACACCAGAACAAAAATAATTAGACCAACAACAAACAGATTCAGGCAAAATAGAACAGTTCCATCCAATAATTCCTTCTACGAGCTCAATGAGGAACAGATGACATACCACCACTCGATTTCAGGAATTGGGTCCTTTGCCTTCTCTTTGGTCGCAACTCTCTCTCCTACCTCTATAAGATTAGGATTCACGTCAGGAGCAGCTTTAGCCTTTGCATGAAGTGCTTGTCTGGCCTTCATATCTCTTGCTCTTTCTTCTCCAAATTGATGCTGAAAACAACATATGACAAAACCATCAGTCAACTGTATGGATTAAAAAGTATTAAGAACTGATTGTAAAGGGAGCATTATAAATACGCAAAATGGACTTACCCTTAGTCTTATTGATTCAGCATCCTTGGACCATTTTCCCTCCTCAACAAACTGGAAAGACATCCGCTTAGGCCTCAGAAGCTTAGCCTTATTGATGCCCATACCTTCATCAAAATGAGGGTTTGACTCGGGATCTACTTCCAGCTCAGGCTTAAGAATCTGGAAAGCATCCTTCTTCTGCTTGTTGATGTTCACCTGAAAGGAGACCACAAGGATATTATGTACTAGCAACTTGACAATGGTATCAATAACAAGCTACATGGGTCAGAAGAACTTGTACAAACCTTGAGCGTGCTGAGGTTGCTTGGTTTAGTCACACTCACAACATTTCCATGTTCATCTATTTCCCTGCCTAGTGCATCTACCCGGAGAACAGGAGCCTTACTGGGCTTCTGTGGTACAGCAGCCTCTGTCTGCATCTGTCCAGGGAACATATTAATAAGTGGAGCAAATTCAGGATCCTGACGGAAGCCCATCTTTGCCGCAAGCTCTTGTGCACGTCTGACAGCTTCATAGTTAGGTGAGCTATTAAGACCAGGAATTGGTGGCAAACCGCTAGCAGGTTGCACCAACGGATTCGCAGCAGTAGCTGAAACGCCGATTGTGGCTGTTGTTGATAACGCACCCACTCCCTGTGGAGTAGAAGATGGAGCTTTCAAACCATCTTTGGCCCGTGAAATGTTGGTACCATCTGAACTCGAAATATTTGTCTTGGTCAACTACAGGAACAAATGAAACAACTGTTAATGTTTGAAGCAGAACCTGAACACCCAACTATGCAAGGGTTCAGACTGCAGTTTATCTTAGTCTACGATAAATTGATTAACCCAACAACAGTTGAAGCACAAACTTTCCAATTAGAGTTGGAACTTACCATGTGCATCCTCTTCAACTTCTCTTGCAACTCTTTCTTCATTTCTATGGCTTTCTTAGCTTTAGCTAATACATCAAGGGATGAACTTCCACTTTTGCCGGCAGTCGATGATGTCCCATCTGTACTAGATTTTCCAGGAACCTCATGAGATCTGGTAATACTAACTCCCTTATTTTCAGTTGTGTTTGAAATTGAAGATACCTTGATAGGAACAGATAAGTCAGGAGCTACAGAGGACCCAGCAATGCTTCTAGTCAATGATCCGGAGGAAGCACCCTGGAATAACATCACAAGTTAATTTGGGAATCAGAAAGCTAAACAACACCAGATTATCAATGGGAGAATAATGAGAACAAGAGCCTCAGCCTTGCAGATAAAGTTAGAAAAGGTTATTAGTTTGCAGATAAAATATAGAGGGTAGGTAAGGGTACAATGAAGAAATTTTCACAAGATCATCACAACCAGAACAATTGCAATCATATGCCAAATATGACAAGTATAAGAAGTCTAACAGGTAATGCAGGCTAACTCTAGAAACTTAGGAACTGTAAATAATAAACAACTTAAATCTTCAGATAAAAAGGTCAAGTCAAAGACAAACAGTTACTCAGTAAATACTGCCCTGACAGTAGCCAGGGATTGCAGAGCTGAAGATGGAAGCCATGAGGATAATGAGTCGAACAGAAAAGACCCAGTGGTGGAAATAACTGACAATGAATATATCTCAGCATGTAAAAAAACATCACCGCAACACCAATAAGTTTGAATGTGTTGGGGTAGGGCTGGGGTGGCAAGAAAACTACAACGAATTAGAGAATCATCCTGCATTAACTAACTAAAGCGCCAACCGCAATCGAACTTAACTGAACTGAACATCAACAAGTTAGCCAGGTGTTCAAAAACTAGTACACTAGCATCCATATTAAACCATTGAAAAGTGAAACTAGAAAAAAAGCATATAATACGATCACACACAAAAAAGAGTACCAAAGGCTACATAACCAGTTTGTTAGGCGAATTGAATCATCTGACGCCACCAAGAAGGTGAAGCCACTACCACAGTACCACCTAACCAACAGATCGCTATTCAATACTCACATCACCTCAAACAACACACTCCAACAAGCCAAAGAGGATGCACACCAGAATAAGCAAAAAACTAGCAAGTTCAACGTTAAGGAAAACTCACATTATCAGCTGGAAATCCACCATTGACGGTGCCACCGCCAGCTATTGACTCGTCATTCACTTCCTCTTTCACCTTAACCTCACTAAATTCACCTCTTGTAGCATTATCAGGAACCCGCGAGATATCGCCGTTATCAACATCGTTCTCTTCCTTCACTTTATCCCCAAATCGTCTCCTCTCCCTCTTCCCATCCGATACCTTAGCTTCCTTCTTCTCCCTTTCATCCCCACCGTCTTCTCTATCTTTCCTCTTCCTTCTCGTAACATCATCCCCCTCTTTGCTTTCATCATACGATCTCTCACGCTTCACTTCTCTCTCCCGCGCCCTATTATCATGCCTATCTCTACTCCCTTCCCTCTCGTCTCTCCCGTCATAAGACCTCTCCCTGGACCGCTCCCTCTCATCTCGCCTTCGACGGTCGTGAGACCGATCAACTCTCTCCCTGCTGCCTTCTCGATCATCTCCCCTCAAATCAACCGACCGCTCTCGCTTCGTTTCCCGGTCACGAGAACCCTCCCGATCCTCGCGCCTTGACGACTTGCGATGGTGGTAGCGGTCTCCGTCGCGATGCTTTTCCTCTCGCTCCGACCGGCGGTGGTTGGAAGAATTGCCATCTCGATCCTTGTCCCTGGATCTGTGTTTGTGCTCCCTATCGCGGTGGTCCCTGCCGGAGTCACGATCAAGCTCGTCGCGCGACCGCTTGGTCGATTTATCCTTATCGGAGGTGGAACGATCCATGGCTAGGGTTTCAAAGAGTTCACTCTCTCTCTCTCTCTCTCTCTCTCTCTCTCTCTCTCTTGTTTCCCGTGGAAAGTGAGAGAAGATAATAAGAGCAGTTTTAAAGAGACTTGGCGAACCGACAGCGGATTAGCATGGGGAAAATCTACGGTTCGGGCCTTCGGTTTTATTTCAGCACCATCCCACATTCTCTTTCGAGGCCGAATCTCTACTAATGTCCGGAAAATTAAGGCCCGTTTAGACAATCCGTGCCCAGTAAAAACAAGGCCCATGTGCTGGCTTCATGAGAAAACAATAATTTGTGGGATTTTTTTATTTTTCCCAAAATGCAAGACCTACTAAAAAAATTCTCAGTATAAAACACTTAGGCATGTTTGGAAGTTAGGATCTACTAAAAAAAATTCTCAGTATAAAACACTTAGGCATGTTTGGAAGTTAGCATTCTCATGTATTTAATCAATGTATGTATTATAATTAGATGTATTGTTTCAATGTATGAATTTGAAAAATACATTGTTTGGAGATTGAATGATTTTGGTGGTCCCTCAAAGAATAAGGAACAAAAAGTAAGACAACAATCCCTAAAAAACAATCTCTACCAAAAGTTGAGATTGACAATCATTCATAATGAATGATTATGGTGGGCCCATTTGCTGTTCAAATACAAGTATTCTGTTTCATTTTAAGCCAAAAAACGATGAATTCTTCTGATTACATGTATTGGCTAAATACATCATGTGAAATCCCAACTTTTAAACAAGCCCTTACATACTGGAGTGTCCAACGTTCTACATACTGGCTCGCTGAAATATGGAGCGAACCAGTGAGAGATTCATGCTTTATGGCCTCGACTTTGGGGTCTTCCTCTTGCTCCCAAATTGAAGTTTTTCCTTTGGCGGATTTTACTAAGAATCCTTCCGGTTAGGGAGGATCTTGCCCGACATGGGGTGCAGGTAGATGATTCATGCCCTGTTTGTGGTTCAGATGAGGGAGAATCGCTGGAACATTTATTCCTTGCGTATCGTGTGGCGGTAGCTTTCCGCCAACGGTGTAACTTACAACTGCCTCCGAGAATTTTTTCAAACACGCATTTGTCCATTTTTTTAAGACGCATCATTCTCAACTACGATCATGCCACCATAATAAATTGGGTCCTCTATTTTTAGCGGATTTGGAAAGGGTGGAATAATGTTGTCTTTCCACCCTATGCACAATTTACCACTGCTGCCTTGTACCGTCACCTATTATCTCATCAAGTCCATATGCTGGCTTCATGAGAAAACAATAATTTGTGGGATTTTTTATTTTTCCCAAAATGCAAGACCTACTAAAAATAATTCTCAGTATAAAACACTTACATAGTGTCCAACGATCTGCATACCTGCTCGCTGAAAATATGGAGCGAACCAGTGTGATTCGCGACTAACAAAAACTTGCCTCTAACTAGCATGCATCGTGGTTAACCAAAGCAATCCACCCGAATAGTTACTTAGTCCAACATTCATTTCGCAATGGAATGTCCATCGATCTACACCTAAACATATGTCGAAACTTATAACGGGCGTAATTTGGCGATTATTCACTAAAATGACCGTTTCAGGTAACAAAGTTACGTCCAGTTGAAATTTCTAGTATATTAGGTGTACTGTTAGGTGTACGAAGGGAGATTTCGGCCGTTTTCAGTTTCAAAAATCTCAAAAAGTTATGGTGAATTAAAAAATCTCTATGATCGGAAAACCGAGCACAAAATCAGCATCGTTTGAAATTTCGAGTATGTTAGGTATAAATCACTGGAGAGTCCAACATTTTTAGGTTAGATCACTGGACTTTACGACAATCTAGCGCGTTCGCTCCAATCTCCATCGATCCAATAAACAACTATCAGGATCGTTGGAGTGTGTAGTTAATCACCTAAAAATTTAGTGTTCTGGTAAATTCTAGTGTAAGTGTGGTATTGTGTGAATTCTTTTAGTAACCGGAAAATACACAAATGGGGAAAAAAGGTCCAACCAACCAATTGAATCAATAAATTACAAAAAGAATGAAAGCAGAACTCCACAATGAGCCAGAGTCCTTGACTTTCTGTACAGCACTATATATTGGTTTGCATGAAACCAAACCTCGTTTTCTCTATGAAACATCAACATCATCATCTGTAAGCAAGAATAAACAAACACCAGTTTGTCTTTTACTTTTGCAAATGAAGTTCCTCGCTGTCACTCACCAACTTAGCAAACACTTGGCTCATCGAAACATCAGCAAGGTCACCAAGTTGTGTACTTCCCATCACGGTGGTACCAAAGCTCTTGGCAGGGCTGATTTGTGCATTACCATGGCGGCTTCTGGGCATCTCCTCGTCCAACTGGAGAACAAACTCTTCATTCACCTGCAACTGCAGTGCACATTCCAGATTCCACAACACATCTCCCATGGAAGGTCTATACAATCCACAGTCAGCCAGGCATTTCTCTGCTATCTCTACAAACTTCTTCACCGATTCTGGCTTGATCTCGTCTCGTATCTTGGGATCAACGATTTCCTCCAGCTTCCCTTTCTTCAGATTCTTCACTGCATAATCAACCAAGTTCACATTTTCCCTCGGCAGTGACGGGTCGATCACTGGTCTGCCACATAGAACCTCGAACAACACCACTCCAAAGGAGTAGACATCTGATTTCTCTGTCAGCTGGAGCCTCAGAAAGTACTCAGGATCGAGATAACCAAAGCTTCCTTTCACTGCTGTGCTTACATGTGTCTGGTCGATCTCCGGTCCGGTTTTGGAGAGCCCAAAGTCTGCAACTTTGGCCATGAAATTCTCATCCAACAGTATATTTGCTGACTTGACATCTCTATGGATGATGGACTTAGCAGTTCCTGTATGAAGATAGTGAAGCCCCTTTGCTGCTCCAATACATACCTCGAGTCTTTGCCTCCAGCTCAAGCTGGGATTATCTGAATCATAGAGATGGTCTTTCAAGTTGCCATTTTGCATATACTCATACACTATAATCATCTCATCCCTTTCATCACAGTATCCAATTAAAGAGACCAAGTGCCTGTGGCGAAACTGGGACAGCAGTTCGATCTCGGTCCTGAATTCTGCAATCCCTTGTGATTGAGAAGTAGCTCTTTTCACTGCCACCATCATGTCATCCTTCAGAACCCCCTTGTAAACCTTACCAAAACCTCCAGCTCCAAGCACCAAATTCTCACTGAAATTATCAGTAGCTTCTTGGAGGGCATAGAAAGGGAATCGGTAGTCGAATTTCGAAGTCGAAAATCCTGCCTCGTTGGAGTAATCCGTTGAGTATATCGTACCTCCTCCATACGTAGCAAACGGACCTTTCTTAGCTTTAGCAAATCTCCTCCTCTTCCAACAAATGAAAAACACAGCCAAACCAGATATTACTACCATGGCGAACAATCCGACCGCACTCAACAAGATTTTCAGACGAGCATTTGACTTGGAACTCTTGGGAGAAGATACGTCGAGCACATCGAGACTGTTCTTCGAGTTGCTGATCTTAACAACCTCCAAGCCATTGAGGATGGCCATTGGATTGTTATCACTACTAGGAGGGCCCATGCTTATGGTAAGAGTGTCACTAGCAACCGACCCTGCAATGTAATCCATGGAGTAAGGAGCACCAGAGGCGTACCCAGTGAGATTCTTCAGATCAAGATACTTGTAAACCAGCCATGATTCAACATAAACATTGAAATAGAAGCTCGGGTGAGGATTCGGCTGCAATATATCACAGAAATGAAACCGGATCAGATAATCAAAACCAGGGTCAACACCAAGATGCCATGTAACATTTGCCAAAGTGTTGGGATCAGCATCCGAGTTCAATCTAGTAGCTGTGCCATAGACTGAAACAGGAGCAGTGAAGTTGCTTGGCCCTCTATTCTTGTAACTGACAGCTGCGAAATCCGTCACGTTGACTGCAAGATAATCATGTCTGATAAATTTGTCATCAGAAGCCCAAAGCCTCCACAGGGTATCATTCTCGGGAAGCACAGTCGTCTTCCCCATGTTCACCCTCTGAACCGTCTCCAGTGCCCGATTCCCCAATGACTGAGAACTCCCCGAGGCAATCATCTGGGCACTCTCGGGAATCAGCCCGCCGGGGATTGAGAACACTTCCAAGGCATTCACAAAAGCGAAAGAACCAGCTGAAGGAGCGAAATTGAGAACCAGATTACCAGAGTTCACATTGATAGAGAACTCCCTCGCCTCAGGATCGGCCTGCGATCTATACTCCTTCAAAAGGGTGAAATTCTGAGCAGCCACAGAGAAGTGAGCGGTGCTGAGATTGTAACTGCCGCTGGCGAAGGGGAAGAAATGGAGACGAATCCAAACCCTGCCGGGCTGCTTGATTGAGAAAGTATAGCGAGAAGCTTGAGTGAAAACCCTCGCAGTTCGGTACAAAGCAGAGCCGTAAGGTGCAGAGATGGAGCCAGAATTCGGACCAGCAACAGATATATTCTGCTGGGTAGACAAAATACTGGACGGATAACCATCGGCTGCAAATGTTCGACCCCCAATGGAGGCGCTGGTAGGGGATCCGCAATTTATCAAATAGTTGGTGGGCGGAACATAGCCACCTAGCGAAATGGAACCCAGGCAAGAAACTGAAGCAACCCAGATGAGGAATTTGAAGCTACCTCCGATCACCATGACCAAACAGGCAGACACCTCTCCCGGTGAGAAAGATAGCTAGAGAGAGAGAGAGAGAGAGAGATGGAATGTGGGAACTCGAGGAAGAGGGAGAAAAATGAGAAAAATATAGGAAAGCGAAGCTTTTGATTCCCCGATTCGGCAAAAACTTGTGCTAGGACGGCTGGTATGCCCAAAAGGAACGATTCCACAGCTGGGGATATTGAATAGTACACGGCGGAACAAGACAATCCCTTCCCACCCAAGAAAACAAGCACAAGGAAACGAAATGGGTGAGGGGGAAAGGAATCGAGACTTGGAAATTTGCCAGGGGGCAAACCTGCGGAATCAATCAAACTCCGGCCAGCGAAAGCATCCAAAAGAAAGAACAGGGAGATTTTGAATTAAACCCAGAACCACAAACA